TATAAGATCATGTCTCAGCCTCTCATGCTCCAGGGAAAAAAGCCCCAGCCCATTCAGCCTCTCTTTATAACTCAAACCTTCCAATCCCAGCAACACTCTTGTAAATCTTTTCTGTACCCTCTCAAGTTTAACAGTATCCTTCCTATAGAAGGGTGAGCAGAATTTTACCCAATGTTCCAAAAGTGTCTTCACCAATGTCCTGTACAGCCGCAACATGATGTCCCAACTCCTATATTCAGTGTTCTGACCAATGAAGGCAAGCATGCCAAATGCCTTCTTCACCACCCTGTGTACTTGCGACTTCACTTTTAAGGAACTATTTGTTGGGTAGTAAGCCTGAACTCACTTCCTAGCAGCGCTGTAGATATATCTACATGACATGGAAAGCATCAGTTCAAGAAACAGCTCAAATTCAACTTTCCTAGGGGAATTAGGGATGGTTAAAGAATTCTGGCCTTGCCCCAGTGCCCACATCCAAAGAAAGGAAGAGAAAGATTGTCAACAACTTTGGGCACCACACCTGAGGCAAGATACTTTGCCCTTGAATGATACCAGAGCTTAGAAGGTTACATTATAAGGTTAGTTTCAATTAAAGTCCACGGAATTGAAGGCAAATTATTAACCAGGCTGTGCAATTATTTACCCAGCAAACATCAGAGAATGGTTAAGGGTACACTTTTGAACTGGGAGGGGTAATGTTAACTTGGTGGTATAGAAACTGAACTGGTAATACAAGATTAATGCAATGTCCTGGGGTCCCAAATTTGAATCTCACCGTGGCGGATGTTGAAATTTGAAGTCAATAAAATCTGAAATTAAAAGTCTAATGATGAAAATGAAAACATTGTTGATTGCCATGAAAATCTATCTGGTTTACTGAAATAAATCTGCCTGGCCTGCATGCATCTCCAGATGTGTACCAATTATTAATTGTCCTCTGAAATGGCCCAGCAAATCATTCAGTTGTATAAAACTGTGAAATCAACTCAAAAAAGGAATGAAATTGAATGGACCACCTGGCATCAACAATGGAAAGCTCAGCTCTGTTGACTCTGCAAAATTATCTTTACCATTTCAGGGGCCATTGGTGCTATTGCCAAAACTGAGACAGCTGTTTTACAGACTAGTCAAACAACGGCCTGACATTGTCATACTCATGGAATCATACCATACACACAATGTCACAGACACCATCATTACCTTTGTCATGACAGACCAGGCAGAGGTGGTGTTATAGTAGAATAGAGTCAGCAGGGAGTTGCCCTAGTTGTCCTCAACATTGACTCTGGAGCTTGAGTCTCATTGCATCAAGTCAAACATGGACGAGAAATTGATGGATCAGATTTAAGTTCTGCAGTCCAGCCACATTCAGTCATGAATGATGGTGGTCAATTAAACAACTTACAGGTGGAAGAGACTCCACAAATATCCCCATCCCCTATGATAGAGGAGCCCAACACATCAGTGCAAAGGAAAAGAAGCATTTGCAACAGTTTCAGCCGGAAGTGCCAAGTGGACAATCTATCTTAGCCAACTCCAGAGGTCCAACTACCAATGATATCAGTCATTAGCCGATTTGATTAACTTTACACAATATCAGTAAACAGGTGAAAGCACTGGACACTGCAAACATTATGAGCCTTGACAACGTTCTGGCAATAATACTGAAAACTTGTGCTCCAAAAATTGCTGCACCCTAGCCAAGCAATTCCAGTATAGCTACATCACTGGCATCTACCTGACAGTGTGGAAAATTGCCCAGGTATGTCCTATACACAAAAGTCTGGACAAATCCAACAGAGCCAACTATCGCCTCATTCACTTACATCATTAGCAGTAAAGTGAAGAAAGGGATCAATAAGAGTGCTGTCAATAACCTGCTCAATGACTCTCAGTTTGGGTTCCACCACGATCACTCAGCATCTGGCTTACTTATGGCCTTAATTCAAATATGGACAAATGAACTAAATATCCAAAGTAAAGTGCGAGTCACTGCCCTTGACATCAAGGCTGTTTTTGACTGAGTGTGACATCAAGGAACCATAACGAAATTGTCAGTGGGAATCAGGGTGAAATCTTCTGCTGGTTGGAGTCATACCTAGAAAGGAAGCTGGCTCTGGTTGGTGGAAATCAATCATCTCAGGTACAGGACATCTCTTAAGGAGTTCCTCAGGGTTTGTTCTAAACCCAACCATCTTCAACTGCTCCATCAATGACCATTCTTCATCAAAAGATCAGAAGTGGGGGTGATTGCTGATGATTCAGCACAATACTCAGCACCATTCATGACTCCTCAGAGACTGAAGCAGTCTATGTCCAAAGCTGCAAGACACAGAGAATATCTAAGTTTGTCTGACAAGTGGCAAGTAAAATTTGTATCACACAAGTATCAGACAATGACCATCTCCAACAAGAGAATACCTAAATATTCCCCCTTGATTTAATATCATTACCATCGCTGAATCCTCCACTATGAACAATCTTGGAATTGGAATCCAGAAATTGAACTAGACTAGGCATATAAAGACTGTGGCTACAAAGGCAGGCCAGAGGCTAGGAGTCCTGCAGCAAGTAACTCACTTCTTGACTCCCGAAAGCCTCTTCAGTCATTTACAAGATACAAGTCAAGAGTGTGACTGAACATTTCCCACTTGCCTGGATGATTGGCAGATGTAACAACATTCAAGAAATTTGACACGATCCAGAACAGTGCAGAAAATTTGATTGGCACCACGACCACAAACATTCACTCCTTCCACCATCAACACTCAGGAGTAGCAGTGTGTATCTTCTACAAAATGCATTGCAGAAATTCATCAAGATTCCTTAGACAGCAACTTTCCAACCCACAAACATTACCTTCTAGAAGGATAGGGCAGCAGATACTTGGGAACACCACAACCTACAAGCACCCTTCCAAACCACTCACCATCCTGACTTGGAAGTATTCAGGGAGATGGTGGTATAATGGTAATGTCGCTGGACTAGTCATCCAGAAAGCCAGAATAATATTCTGGGGGAACAGAAACCTAATAAACTTCTGATGCTGGAAAATCAGAAAAAATGAAAATAAAGAGAAATTGCTGGTAAACTCAGCAGATCTGGCTGCATCCGTGGATAGGAAGCAGAGTTAATGTTTCAGGTCCAGTGACTCTTTTTCAGAACACTGTAACAATAACTCTGTTTTGTCTCCACAGATGCTGCCAGACTTACTGAGTTTTCCCGGAAATTAATGTTTTTGTTTTCAACATTCTGGGAAATGGGACTTGAATCCTACTATGGCATGTGGTGAAATATGAATTTAATCAGATCTGAAATAAAATGCTAGCCAAATGATCACCATGTATCTGAGCTCAATTGTCATTAAAACACATCTGGTTCACTAATGTCCTTTAGGGAAGGAACTCTTGCCTGTTTGGACTCCAGACCCACAGGTTCCTACAGGTAATGTTTCCCCTAATTTTTACGCTGCATAGACCTCTGATGTCCATACGTGGTGTGACCTTTGAAAATTTAAGTCAATGTGTTGGCACGCTGATCAGCATGTGCAAAACTTTCCAATGATTGCACAGTAGCACTGCTTTGTCATTTGGCAGTCAGGTATGGGCAATAAATGCTGGCCTTATGCCATGAATGAATTTTTAAAAAATGGTTACCAACAACAAACTGAATTCAGACTGAAGTTAAGAGAGTAGAAAGCCAGATATACAAGCTTGCAGATTGCCCAAAGTCATAGCAACCTAGTGTAGGTGGGAGGAAAGAATTGCAGAGATATTAATATAGAAAGTGAGTGGGCAAACTTTTATTAGATAGATTTCCTTGCAATTGTGAGGTAATCAATTTTGTACCAAAACAGAATAGACCAAAGTCTTTTTAAGGAGTATAAAATGAGAAACAGTGGGTCTACAATGAGATCTATCAATTCTTGGACACAACTCACTAAAATGTGTAATCAGGTGCAAAATAAAACAAAAAATAGCAAATGGAACATTAATCTATATCAATATCAGGCACAAATATGAAGAGAAGGAGTTTTGCAGCTATCCAAATGCCTACTTAGACCACAATGATGTACTGAATTCAGTTCTGAAAACTGCACCTTAGAAAGGTGCACGTGCCTTTGGAAAAGACACAATGTGGATTCATCCGAATGTTGCCAAGGTCCCAATGGTTATATTGAAGCTTTGAAGAGTGATATGAGGGATTTTTCTTGGAAAGGATATTAAAGTGTATAAAGAAAGTATGAGTCAAGGGAGTTGCGGTCCAAATCAACTTGATCTGACTGAAAGGCAGAATAGACTCAAGGGGCTGAATGGCATCCTCCCATTTATGTAACCTGCTGCTGACTGGTCAACTCTACCAATACGTTCTGGTCTATATTTCATACATGCTGTCTCATTGCTGAATGTAATTGTACTGGTCATTCACCACATCAAGGTGCCAGGTGGGGTCCATGTCTCACTCTGTATTGCCCTTTTAAATCCTGCAGACTGGCTTCAAATGTCAAGTATGTGCATCAGGCGTTAGGTGGAGCCTGTGTCCCGGGGGTGGAAGGTTAATGTATCAGAAACTGGCAGAGAGGAGTGACCGCGGGAAGAGGAGCTCTCTGATTGCAGGAAACAGTGAATTTTGAGATCCCAGGTGAGAAGTCCATTCCCAGGTAGGGAAAGATCAGAGTTACGTCCTCCAGAAGTTTCAGTGCGATTTGTATTGCTTTCAGTTTCACTTGCTGCAATATCTCCAGCGCAGAATTCAGAACGGGTCCTCATATCAGCGGGAATGAGAACTTTGCCGTTAATTCCCAGTTCCTGATTTCCCATCCTCTAGTTTCCGAGACCTCAACCTAGTAACCAAGCTCCCAGTCCACAGATCTGAGCGCAACTTATTAGCACCGGTCACCCCGTCCCATTTCTGGGGGTGGAGAGGGGGATGTCAGGGATTTTGGATGTGGGAGTTTCGGTTTTGGAGGGAAGGTTGTTGGGGGACAGTGATGCGGATATTGCCTTGTTACGCAGTGCAACTTCGGAGCTACAGCAACTTTGATAACCAACCTCCGAACTTTACAACTCCTAATTTGAAATACATTTTTTCTGATGAAGGGTCTAGGCCCGAAACGTCAGCCTTCCTGCTCCTATGATGCTGCTTGGCCTGCTGTGTTCATCCAGCTCTACACGTTGTTATCTCAGATTTTCCAGCATCTGCAGTTCCTACTATCTCTAATTTGAAATACGGTTGGTTTTATCTTACAATTTCCTGTGTCTCGTCTCAGATCTGGGGACTTAAAGTAACAAAATGCAGCGCGAACAAATCAGAAAACATCCGATTAACAGATGTACAGCAACAGCAACTGTTACGCATCTCCGTCAGATAAATCCCGTGAGTCACTGTTGAAAAGTGCCTGTTTATTCTCCGTCCTCACTAATCTCCAGGGATTTGTTTGCCTCGTTTTTCTGCTCTTTTATTGAATGTTTGATAGGCCAGTACACAGAGAACCACAGAATAATACAAGCAAACCAACCACCCAGTCTGTGTCAGCGCTTTGTAAGAGCATTACAATTTATTGACGAATCAATGTTGTTGCTTGGGCTCTCCTCTAGGCCCAGTTCTATGTTGGGTCTCAACTGGAATAGCGCCTAACCCCCTGGCCATTGCATATTTTTGATGTATAGATGATACATCTGCTATATTTGAATCAGCAACTGCATGCAAGAATTTCTTTGCGTCTTGATAGATTCCACCCTGTACTCAAATTCACGTTTGAAATGAAAAAATCAAATGAACTCCCTTTCTTGATGGCCTATTTGAGATATTACTGTCTACCTTCGCTGGTCATTAAATATGTTGGGATTCCTATAGTTCCATATGCTCTAAGATTGGCTTTATCGAAACTTCGCAAACAGGGGCAAAGCCATTTGCAAACTTGATGCTGAAATAGTATGCATCAAAACCATTCTGTGAGACAATGGATATCCCGATCAGATTGTTTCCCCTACTCCTCTTTATGAATGACCTGGACGTGGATATACAGGCAATAACTTCAAAATTTATTGAAAACTCAGAAATACAATAGCATGCATAAAACAAAGCAAAGAAAGAACTGCGGATGCCGGAGATTTGAAACAAAAATAGAAATTGTTGGAGAAACTCGGCAGGTCTGGCAGCATCAATGGGAAGAAAGCAGAGTTAACGTTTCCAGTCCGGTGACTCTTCATCAGATGATCAGAGAAGTTCTCCCAGCAATTTCTTGTATTTTTTTTCGTAATAGCATGCATAATTGGCCACAGTTTGTAGGTGTCAGCAAATACTGCCGCATACAGCGGAAGGGAAGTCGGATGGACCCGGGAGGGGAGAAAGGGAGAAGAGATCGGGATCCGGCAAAAGAACTGGAGGGAAGAATGCGGTGAACAGTCAGGGGACGAGAGGGGAGGGGTACTCTCCGCTCCCATTGTCCCATGCCCCGCCCCACCCGTGAGTCGCCGCCTTCCGGTCTACCCGCTCCCGCCAACCCATTTGGAGTGCGCTTGCGTAGCAACGTATTTGTTTGTGACGTCACACCCACAGCGCACGTGCTGACGTCAGAACGGGGAGAAGCATGATCCTTCGTGTGGTTCACTGGTGACAGAAATGCCAACATGAAAACGACCCATTTAATTCTAACTGTCTTTCGCTCATTAAACAAGTTTTAACCATGGGATCCAAGGGAATCCTTTTTCTTCATTCACCGGATGTGGGCTTCCTTGGCTGGGCCAGGATTTACTGCGCATCCCTCGTTGCCTTGGAGAAGGTGGCGATGAGCCTCCGTGAGCCGCTGCAGTCACATGCTGCAGGTAGCCCTACGATGCCATTGGGGAGGGAGTTTCAGGATTTTAACCCAGAGAAATTGAAGGAATGGCGATACATTTTCAAGTCAGGAGTTGGAGTGTTTTGGAGGGAAACATCTAGGTGTTCTCATGTATCTGCTGCCCTTGTCCTTCTCGATGGTGGTGGTTGTGTTCTGTCTGAGGAGCTTTGGTGAATTTCTGCAGTTCATCTTGTGGATGGTACTCACTGTTGCTACTGTGCATCAGTAATGCAGGGAGTGAATGCTGATGGATGTGGTGCCAATCAAACGGCCTTTTTGTTTTGAATGGCTTCAAGCTTCTTGAGTGCTCTTGGAACTGCAAACATCCTGGCAAGTGGGGAGTATTCCATCACATTCCTTACTTTTGCCTTGTACATGGCTGACATGCCTTGCAGAGACAGTAGGTGAGTTATTTGCTGCAGTATTCTTAACCGTTGATCTGCTCTTGTCGTCAATGATTTAATGTGGCTACTCCAGTTCAGTTTTTCATCAATGGTAACCCTAAGGATGTAGATAGTGGAGGATTCAACAAGAGTAGTGTCATTGAATATCAAGATTTAGTGGTTATAATCTCTCGTGTTGGAGATGGTGATTGATGCTTGTGTGATTCAATCATTCCTTGCCATGTTTCAGCCCAACCTAGACATTGTTCATTGTGCTGCATTTGGACATGGATTGATTGAGTATCTGAGGTTTTGCAAATGGTGCTGAGCATTGTGCAATCATCAGCGAACATCCCCACCTCTGACCTTACAATGGAGGGAGGTCTTTGATGAAGCAACTGAAGATGGTTAGGCCGAGGACACTGCGCTGAGGAACTCCTGCAGAGATGGTCTGCAGCTGACATGATTAACCTCCAACAACTCCAACCATCTTCCTTTGTGCCAGATACAATTCCATCTGGCAGATAGTTCCACCAAACCCCCAACCCCCAATTCCCATTGACTGCAGTTTTGCAAGGATGCCTTGATACCACACTCAGTTAAATGAACTCCTTGAGGGCAGTCACTCTGAATGTTTGAAATAAAGCTGTAATGAGGTCAAGAGTTGTGTAGCTCTGGCAAAACCTAAACTGAGCATCAGTGAGCAGGTTATTGCAATGCAAGTGCTGTTGGCTAGCACTGTTGATCTCAGTGGTTAGCATTGCTGCCTCTGGGTTCGATTCCACTCACAGGAGACTATCTGTGTGGAATTAGCACCATCTCCCTCTGTCTACATGGGTTTCCTCTGAGTGTTCTGGTTTCCTCCCATTGTCCAGAGATGTGCAGATTAGGTGGATTGGCTAGGCTAAATTGTTTGTAGAGTACAGGAATGTGCAAGATGGGTGGATTAGCCATTTGAAATGCAGGGATACAGTGACAGGGTGGGGCGGTTGTGGATCTGGGTGGGATGGCCTTTGGCAGGTTGGTGTGGACTTGATGAGTCAAATGGCCTCCTTCCACACTCTAGGAATACTATGAAGATCACGTGTAGCCTTTACAGCCTCGAGTGCTGTTTCTTCATATCATGGGGAATGAATTGAATTGGCTGAAGACTGGTAGCAACCTCCAGAGGCCACTAAGTTGGATCATCTGCTTGTCACTGCTGGTGAAATGGCTTCAAAAACTTCAGCCTTAACTGTTCCACCACTGTGTTGAGATCCCCCGTTATTGAGGATGTAATGTCTACATAATAACATCAATATCTGGAACTGTACATTACCAAATGAGCATGCAGGTATAGTTGTCTAACAGTTGTTGGTGTCAGCAAACACAGATTACAAGAGAGTACAGGAATAAACAAGTAGGAAACTGGAGTTAAGGGCAAATCAGATCATCCATGGTCTTGTGAAAATATCATTGGGGTAGCAATCCAGAACCCCAGACTAATGTTCTGGGTACATAGGTTTGAATCCCAGTGTTGCAGATGGTGAAATTTGAATTCAATGAAATTTATTTTTAATTCTGGAATTAAAAGATTAAAAACCAGATATTATGTAACCACCGTAGTTTGTCACAAACGTCCATTTGGTTCAACAATATCATTACTTGGTCAAGCCTACATGTGATTCCAGACCACAGAAATTTGGTTTACTCTTAATTGCCCTCTGAAATGGCCTGACAAGCCATTGAATTATATCAAACCACACAAAGCCTAAAGAAAGGAATGGAAACATTGTATCAACCTAGGCATCTGAATTGACAGTGGTATACTCAGCCCTGTCATCCCTGGAAATTTCTCTTTACTAACTCCCCTCATGGTCAATACTTGTTAATTGGATCTCTCATTAATTTAGTGGGGATTCATTTTTTTAAAAAAAGCTAGGTTTCCAAGTAATTTGGTGAGGAACCTTTAAAAATAAAACAGAGAGCAGTGTTCTTCCCTTGTTTCCTTTCCTTTTTGTTATTGCTGTTACCGTGCTGGGCAGTATTTGTTATTTGTTGTTTGATAATTAGTCATTTGGGTGATTTGGTGATGGGCTGTTTTAAAAAAAGGTTGTTTTCTTTGGTTCATCAACGTCCTTCAGGAAAGGAAGACTGCCATCTGTCCTACATGTGACTCCAGATCCACGGCCAAGTAGTTGACTCTTAACTGTCCTCTGGACAAATTCAGGATGGATAATAAATGCTGCAATGCCCACATCAAATAATAAAAACAAAGAGTTGGAAAAAGCAGATGGCTTTCAGAGAGAGATTTTTCAAAATAAAAATAAAAAGCTGGGTTCCTGTGGAGGATACTAAGCAAGAGTCTTGTGACTTTTCACTGGGGACCTAGGGGTGAAGGATGTTGCACACAGCCTTCTGTACAACTGTAGATCAAGGTAGTTCTCCAATTTCTGGCGCAACTGTTGATTCTGCTGTTTATTGGTTGTGGGAGATTCCACCCCTGTGTGTTTAACAAAAGGCTGAGTGTTCTTTTGGCTGCACTTCAGCCCTATGCTCCTGATCTTTGGGCAGCTGGTTTGGGGCTGTGGGGAGTTTGGGGTGTGGTGGTGGTGGCAGACAAGTCAGAAGACCTCTTCATAGGCAAAATTCCATCTAAACTGTGTGCTTGCAGAGCCACTCCAACGTTTCACGGACAGCAATTAGCCCACGCTGCTAGGCAGAGAGATCAATGCTGTGGACCTGGTGTAAGTAGCTATCAACAGGTCCAGGCAGTGGGCCATAAGACAGATTAGTTATCCACCTGCTTGCCTCTCTTCCACAGGTACAGTTGTGTCTGGAGTGTCCTTGGGAACTGAACACATGGTCCACCAAAACGCTTGAGGTATTTAGAGAGAGAGAGAGTTGGCACAATAGGAGTGCATTTCCCCTTCCAATAGTATTTTGATTTAATTCCTGCCCTTAAAATGTTTCAACAATTGGGAGGGAGAGTGTTGTACATAATTTGGAGGAGGACTGTAATACATTACTGAAAAACATAAATAATCTTACAGACAGTATGATATTGGCAAATGAACTTCAATATGGCTAAGTGAGAAGATGCATTTTTTGAGGAAAGAGTACAAAGCTATTTGGAAGTTCAGTGTCTCAGTGTTGTAGGGGAAGACAGACACAAATCACAAAGTGGCAATGCCAAGTAATAAAGCAAACAAAACACTTGGGTTCATTTCTGGAGAACTAGATCTGAAAAGCAGACACTTGGTTAGATATCATGCAGTAGTGTGTATAATTCTAGACTCCATAACAAAAAAAAACCCAAAGCAATGGAGAAGACATAGATTTAAAGTGTTTGTTATAAAGATTAGAGGGAAATGAGGAAAAATGTTTTCACTAATGGGTGGTTGGAGTCTGGAACTCTTTGCCTCAAAGTGCCATTGGGGCAGAAGATCCAAGATGTCTGGATATGCACCCCAAATGCCATAACCTGAAGAGCCACAAACCAATTGCTGGAAAATGGAATTGAGCTGGATGTCCTCATGTTTGACTAGCACAGGGAACCAAATGTTCTCTTTCCTGTGGCATAAACATTCTATGTTTTAACGCACAAAAAGGATTTATAAGGACAATATCAAAATTGAGATGTTACAACTATCAGGGACAATTGGATGGGTTGGGCCTCTTTTCCCTAGGACTGAGGGTTCGTCCTTATAGAAGGCTTTACACTCATGAAAGCGCAAGAAAAATTGGCTCCTCCTGCAGGGACCTGGATGTCATATCTAGATTAGGAGTTAATAATCCAATCATGAGTTCAGGAGAAACTTCTTTATCTGGTGAGAATGTGGAACTGACTACTGTGTAGAGGTGGTAAGACAATTATTTTAGATTAATTTGTAGGGAATCTAGATAAACACAAAATGGGGAGAAGTGCACAAAAATATGCTGTTGATGGGATAATGGCCTGTTTCTGTGTTGTGGATACTTAGCATCATGTTTTTGACCATTTTTAAAAAATCAACCTTTTCAATTGTTTCCTTTGTCTCAGTATTCACTTTGTGCACGATAGGTGAATTTTTTTAACCTTATCTGTCCTATATATTTTTCTTCCTCTCCTCTAATGTAGTAGGTTCTATAGTTTCCAATGCATTAATCTCTTTTACTGAACTTTCTTAGTAAATCCTCTCATTTTTGTATTTATGCTCTAGCCATGGAATTCATTGGCAAACAATGCAAAAAGCAGGTGGAAAGGCAGGTTGAGAGGGATGCAAACAATTTACAGAGACATATTGATAGTTAAGAGGACAAAAAGTTGGCAAATGCCGTATGTTGAAAGGTGTCAAGTTGTTCATTTTAGAAGGGAGAACAAATGACCAGTATTCCTCAAATGAAGAAAAGCTGCAACATAAAAGGGCATTGGGGTACTGATGCACAAAGCAAAACTAGCACACAGGTGCAGCAGGTTAGTAGGAAGTCTAATGGAATGTTGGCCCTTGTTTCTAGGGGGTTGGAGTATAAAAATAGGGAAGTCTTAATGCAACCGTACTAGGTGCTGGTAAGAGCACATTTGGGGTAGTGGGTGTTCTTTGATCTCCTTATTGAAAGGAAATATACTAATTCATTGGTGGCAGTTCAGAGAAGGTTCACCAGGCTGATGGCTGGTGTGGAAGGACTATCTTAGGAGCAAAGGTTAAACAGGTTGGGACTTGACTCTTTGGAATTTAGAAGACACAGTGCGGCTTGACAGGGTAAATGCTGAGAGGATACTTCCCTTCATGGGAGACCTCAGGAGCAAAGGGCATAGTCTCAGAATTAAGGGGCACCAATTTAAGACTGAAATGAGGAGGAATTTCTTCCAAGGGTTTAGTGTCTTTGGAACTCCTTGCCACAGAGAGCTCTGGGATAGAGTCCTTGTGTATATTTAAGGGTAAGGTTAATAACCTTAGATTCTTGATCATTACGGTAATGGGGAAAGGACAGGAAAGTTGATGTGTGGAATGTTAGATCAGCTACAATACTACTGGATGTTCCTATTTCTTAAGCACTAAGGCCAGAATTTAATACTTGCCCCAGGGTGGCGGTGGTGAGCAGAATTCTTGAACTATCAGTAACAGTTTGATAGCAGCCTTTCAGAACAATACTGGTATATACAGGTCCAGGGTGGACAGCAAATCTCCTTCCCTAAAGGGCATTAATGACCAGATTAATTTTTAAGACTTCAATAACTTTATGATCACTTTACTGAATTCAAATTCTCAAACTAGTTTGGATTTTAACTTAGATTTTCAGAATTAATGGACCAGAAATATAGCAGCAGAAATAACTTGCATCATAACTAATCTCCTTATTTTATGTGATTTAGCGAAAACAAGACACTCCCAACCTCTATGCAGTGTTACTATCATCTCTGGTCTTCCCACCCTCAATCATATCAGTGAATTATTGGTATATTCTATTCACCTTCCTCTTGCACAATTTCGTATGTTTCTTTTGACTAATATAAAGTTCATTTTATTTTAAAATTTTCTTTTTTATTGGTGTTTTCATTGGCAGAAACTTTAACCGTTCACCAAATGGCAGGAAGACCATCTAGTCATCGGAGAAAGCAGGGAGCTGATGCAAAACCACGAATGCCTCAGGAGGGAGCTCTGCTTCCAGCTGCTAAAGCAACCAGTCCAAGGGGTTCAGGATCTAGAAGCCAAGGAGGTAGATCAAAGGGTGGGAGTCCCAGCTCAGCCAAGCCGTCAAACACTGGAAGATCTTTGAACCCAACTGTTAACACCAGAAACATTGAAACACAGAAATCCACCAAGCCAACTACCAAAGGAGCAGAAAGCAGTGGTGATGGTGTCACACGAACCACGGTGGTTACTGGTAATGCCAACTCTGGATCCAAGGCATTGGGTAAAGAGAGACACACCAACAAGCAAGTTGATAAAAACAGCCAAGCCAGCATTTCTGCACAACCAGAGATGATCAGTAAGCAGAGGGTAGCAGAAATTGAGAAAGAGACACGGGGTCAAAGGGAAAACCCAGCTTGGTTCGAGCAGCGTAGAAACCGAATCACTGCCTCAGTAGCACATAAGATTTCCCACAGCAAGTTTGTGAACGGTAAAAGTACCGAGGTCCCTCAGTCCTATCTGAAGTCTGTTGTGGGCCAGGGCTCAAACGTTACGACGCCTGCAATGAAATGGGGTGTCCAGAATGAGTCCATGGCTATCAAAAAATATGAGAAGCTGAAGTCCGAGGCCATCGGGCACCAGGTATGTGTCAGGTCATGTGGGCTGTTTGTTGACCCAGAAAAGCACTGGTTGGCAGCAAGTCCTGATGGAGTAGTGGTTGACAAGGCAACAGGGGATACCATCGGCCTGGTTGAAATCAAGTGCCCCTACAAACACAAAAATCACACCATCAACAAGGCGTGTGAAGACAAAACATTCTGCTTGGAACGCAACAAAGGTGAACTTCAACTGAAAAAGAATCATCCGTATTTCACCCAGATTCAATGCCAGTTGGCGGTTGCAGGCCTCGAACAGGCTGACCTTGCAGTCTACACCGACCGTGATGTTGCCATTGTCCCAGTGAAATCTGATAAAAAGTTCTGGAAGAATACTGAAAATAAACTGGAAGATTTCTACACCAGAGCAGTCCTACCAGAATTACAGAAAAACAATCCAGTGTTGGCAAATGAAGAGTAACCACGTGAAATATTCATGGTGTTTCCCTAAATAAACCTATACTTAAAATGTTGCAGCCTCTCTCTTCAAGAAAATGTCTGAAATCAAAAGTGCTTAAAATGAAAATTCATGGCGTTGTTAGGTATAAAACTGTGGCTTTCTGAACTTTATACCAGGAAGTAGTTGCAAAGCTTTAGTGATGGAAAACGTGATTCCACAATTTCCCCTGTATTGCATCCAGAAACTAATAAAATGGCTGTTTCACTGTTCTGTTGTTTGTGACACTTTACTGTTTCAACAAAAAATAGATGCAAAGATTCATTTCATTTCAACATGTTCCTCCATGACCCAGGAATTCTACCACTCTTTATAAAAACTTAAAATAGTGACTGCACACAGCAATCATTGCAACATTCTAAGAAAGGAAAGTGCTACATACGTGTGTTGGTGAAAAGGAGAATTGAGAAAACTATTACACAACAAGTGACTAAGATTTGGAATGCGCTGTCTGATGGAGTAATCAATGTAATTTCAAATTGGCCAAAAAAAAAACTTTAAAAATACTTGGAGATGAAGCTACATAAATACGGGATGAACAAAATATGTTGTCAAAATATCCAACACAGAACTGATGAGTCAAATGGGCCACGCTTTTTCTATGTAAAATCTTTTAGTGATTCTGTCCAAGTTCACTCCTTTGTGTAAATTTACAAAACTATTTCCATTTATCCAAAACATCAGGTTTGTGTTTCTCTTTGTGCTGATTTAACTGAATATCAGGCAGTTTCTATAAAAGATACTCAATCAGAAACATTGATTTTATAACAGACAGGAAGTTACAAATCTGCCCAGCTATGTTTAAGGGCATGATTTTCAGCACCTTTCATGACCACAGGACTTCCTAAAGCACAGTGCTACCAATGAAATATTTTTTGAAGTGTAGTCACTGCTGTAAAATGTAGGAAATACAAAATTGTTTCTTCATTGTCACTGGGCCAAAATCCTGGAACTCGTTCACTAATAATACTGAGAGTATCTCCTACAAGTACTTAAGCAATCAAGGTGCAATTCCAAAGTTTGAAGCCAATGCAAAACTTGGGAGAATTGTCAGCTCTGAGAAGGGTCACTTAAAACCATAAGAAGACATGGATGTATTGGTGGATTGGAGAAAATGTGGCAGATAATTTTCAATGTGGAGAAGTGAGAGGTGATGCACTTTGACACAAAGAACATGGAGAGACAGTATGAAATAAAGGATACTTACTCTAAAGGGTATGCAAGAGCAGAGAGTCCTGGATGTATAAGTATTCAGGTCATTAAAAGTGGCAGGTAGAAAGAGCTGTTAGTAAAGCATACAGTATTCTCAGCTTCATAAATAGAAGCAGAGTACAAGATTAAGGAAGCTATGGTGAACTTAAATAAGTCACTGTTTAAACCTCAGCTGGAGAATCATTTACACTATTGGACACTACACTAGGAAGGATGTAAAAGCATTGAAGAGAGTGCAAATGAATGGTTTCAGGGATAAAGTATTTTGCAAAAGAAGCAAATAGAAGATGACAAGATCTTCATTTTTAAACACAGCAAGCAGTTAGGGTATGGAATACACTTTCTTGAAGGTTCAAATGAAGCTTTAAAGGCAGAATTAGATTTAAATAGAAACAATATGTAAGGTTACAGAAAAAAGGCAGGAGATTGGCATCAAGTCTAAAAGCTGAGAGAGCCAGTGCAGACACAATGGACTGAATACCTTCCTACTGTGCTGTAACAATTCTATGATTTTCACCACCATTTTTTCAAGAGCAGTTAAAGATGGACAATAAATACTGGTCACGCCAGGAATGTTCACATACCATAAAAGAATTAAACAAATATGCATGTTTAGATCTTACGAATGATAATACAAGTAATAATACTATAAGGATAATCCAAAGAGATTCTACAAGTACATTAACAGCAAGAGAGGAAGGCCCAATAAAGATCAAAGAGGTCATCTTTGTGTTGAACCTCAGGAGATGGGATAGATATTAAATTAATATTTATTTCATGCCAGTTTTTGTTATGGAGAACAAAAATGGAGGCTAGGGACCTCAGGGAAATAAATACTGATGTTTTGAAAACAGTTCATTTTACAGAAAAGAAAGTGCTGGAAGTCTTAGAAAATATAAAGGTAGATAAATCTCCAGGACCTATTCTAGGACTTTGTGGGAGGAAATTGCGGGACCTCTTGTGGAAATATTTGCATCATCTAGAACTATGTGAGGGGCGCCGGACGACTGGAAAGTGGCTAATGTTGTACCTTTGTTTAAGAAGGGATGTAAAGAGAAACCTGGGGACTACAGACCTGTGAGTCTGACTTTGGTGATGGGTAAGTTGTTGAAAGTGATTTATATGCATTTGGAGAAGCAAGGAATGATTAGGGATAGACAGTTTTGTACGAGGAAAATAGTGTCTCACAAACTTGAGTTTTTTTGAGGGAATAACCAAGAAAATTGATGAGGGCAGAACAGTAGACATTGTTTACTTGGACTTTAGTAAAGCCTTTGACAAAGTTCAGCATGGCAGACTAATTAGTATAGTTAGATCACATGGGATTCAGGGTGAGCTTGCCAATTGGATACAGAATTGGCTTAAAGTTAGGATACAGAGAGGGATGGTGGAGGGTTGTTTTTTTGGACTGGAGGCCTGTGACCAGCGGTGTTCCACAGGGATCAGTTCTGGGTCCACCTTTGCTTGTCATTCAGAAAATAATTTAGATCAGAATATAGAAGGCATGGTTAGTATGTTTACGAATTACACCAAAATTGATTGTATAGTGGATGGTGACAGAGGTTATCTAAGATTATGCAGAGATCTTGATCAATTGGGTCAATGGGCTGAAGAGTGGCAGATGGAGTTTGATTTGGATAAGTGCAAGGTGTTGCATTTTGGTAAACCAAACAGGACAGGACTTATATAATTAAAAGTAGGGCCTTGGGTAATGTTGTAGAACAGAGACACCTCGGGGGTTCAGGTATGTAGTTCTTTGAAATTTGCATCACACATATTTAGGGTAGTTAATTGGGGTTCAGCATGCTTGCCTTCATTGCTCAGACCTTCATGTATAGGCATTGGGACATTGTGTTGAGGTTGTACAAGAAGTTGTTGAGACCTCTCGTTGAGTACGGTGTCCAAATCTGGTCACCCTGTTATAGGAAGATCATTATTAAGCTGGAGACAGTTTAGAAGAGATTTATCAGAAAGTTGCTGGGAATGGAGGGTTTGAGTTGTAAGAAGGTAGATATGTTGGAACTTTTTTCATTGGAGCGTAGGAGGTTTATGAAATCATGAGGGGTATAGATAAGGTGAATTACAGGTGTCTTTTCCCTGGAATAGGGGATTTCAAGACTAGGGGGCATATTTTTAATGGTGAAAGGAAAAAGATTAAAAAAAAAATGAGCATTTTTTAAACACAGACTGGTTCATGTGTGGAATGAACTTCCAGCGGAAGTGGTGGATGTGGGTACAGTTACATCATTTAAAAGACATTAAGAGAAGTACACAAATAAGAAATGTTTGGAGGGATATGGGCCAAATGAAGGCAGGTGGAACTAGTGTAGTTTGGGACAATGGCCAGCATGCACTGGTTGGACCAAAGAGTCTGTATCTGTGCTCTATGAATCTATGACCAGGTTATCTATTAATAGTGCTCTTAGTTAGAGATGACTATTGAGCAGGATACTGGAGCGAATACTGTGCTCTTCATCAGTGCCATAATATCTTTTATACCTAACTTGAGGGGACAGCTGAGGCCTCTTTAATTTTGTAACCATAATATATGTGTGTGATAGTACTGCACCGGCAGTGTAAGCTTAGATTACTTGCTCAGCACTGGGAATTCAACATCAGACCTGATGTCTGCTTTGGAGCGGAAAGGATTAAAATGGATCCACAGCTCATGGAATGAGCCATGTTTTAAGAGATTGAGAAAGAGATCAAAAGATAGAAGACTGCTACTCCCTACTTAATCCACTGAGGTACAGGCAATGGTTTATGTCTTAATTGCCTGACCACTGAGAATGAATTCAGTTAAGCTGGTTCAACACAAATATCTGAGAGAAACATGCACTGAAGAACAGTATCATTCACAGTTCCCTGCTCTTCACAGCTACAGGCATGGAGGAGACAGAACAATAATTCTCAGAGAGGCTAGTTTTCCAGATCATAATAAACAGCAATCAAGTGGAAGTTTTTGACAAAGTGAGTGAGTGCCCAGAACCCACCTTATATCATAGCAGTCCTGAACTTGGGGGAGGGGGTGGGCAGGGAAGAAAGAGAACATTTCAATTTTCACGAAGAAGAGAGATGTGAAACATTAACTCTGCTTCTCAACACAGATGTCACCATATGCTGTTGAGTATTTTCAGCATTTTAGACCATAAGACTTAGGAGCAGAAGTTGCCATTTAATCCATAGAGTCTTATCTAGAGATCATAGTAATCTAATAATTCTTAACTCCACTCTCCTAGCTTTTCCCCCTAATCCTTGATTCCCTTAATGATTAAAAATCTGCCTACTTCAGCCTTGAATATACCCAACAACACAGGCTATACAGTCCTCTGCAGTAAAGAATTCAACAGAATTATTACCCTCAGAAGAAATTCCTCATCTATCTTAAATCGATGAAATCTTACTCCAATATTATACACTCTGGTCCTAGTCTCTCCCGGGGTGGGTCAGGGGGATGGCCTCTTTGCTTCTACCCTATCAAGTCCACTAAGAATATTTTATTTTTCAAAAAAAGTCATCTCTCATTCTTCTAAATTCCCATGAATGTACCCAAACTCCTCTTATAAAATAATCCCTCCATACCCAGTGAACCTACTGAACCTTCTCTGGACTGCCTCCAATGCCATTATATCTCCCCTTCAAGAAGGGGACCAAAACCGTTGGGTGTTCTTGGTGTGCTTCAACTTGTACCTTACACAGTATTAGCTAGACTTACTTATTTTTATAGTCCACTCCCTTTGAAATAAAGACCAACATTCCATTTGCCTTCCCAATTACTTGCTGAACTTATATACCAGCTTTTTATGATTCATACACAAGGACTCAAATTCCTCTGTGCTGCAGCTTTCTGCAGTGGTTCTCCATTTAAATAATACTCAGCACCTCTATTCTTCCTATCAAAGTGCATAATTTCACATTTTCTCCCATTACATTCCATCTGCCAAACTTTTGCCCATTTACTTAGCCTGACTGTATCCCTCGATAAGCTCCTGTCATCCTC